ACATAGAGTTAAAGAAGGTCATCTCATAGTGAAGAGAGTTTCGTTAGAAGATATTCTTGCAGATCCTCTCACAAAGGCTCTGAGTAGGATTAAGCATAGTCAACTTGCTAGGAGCATTGGTTTAAGAGATGACATTAGTTTTAGTAGTTAGATGATTAAGCTGAAAATTGTAACAAAATAAACATAATTGATTTTGGTGATTGAATAATTGAGATTATTTATGAGTATTGCTTACTGCCTTTGTCAATTATTTATTCTTGTGTTTTGTTTTACATGTTTTACTTCCTGACTAATTTTATTATTCAAAGCTCCACATTCGTTCATACTTCAGCAAGTAAGTAGTGAATGAAGACTATTATGAATTGGATTATATATTGTTTAAGGAGTTTAGACATGGCGATTGTGTTGCTGTAACGTTCATGAGTACTTAGAAAATGGATATTTAAGTATTGGATAAACCCACACTCAGAGAATTACTTTACGGATTATATCATGAGTAATTCTGAGACGATAATATCTTATATTCTTAAAATGAAGATATATGAGTTGTAATTTACAAGCCGGTTATACATCGGTATTATGTAAACACATTAATAACTTGATGTTATAAAACGTAGTGTCATGTATGATTTGGTGAGTAAAGGATACAAGCATATGAGTCAAAGTTAATTCGTTCTTTTTGCTTTAACAACAAAAACAATATCTTTGGTCCCCTTAGGGATTTTGTGTTGACTTATAGTGTTGGGCCCATCCAGGACTAAATTGATATGTTAAATTAGAAGTCTTATGACGTCATTACATATCTAGAAATCAATAAATAGAATTTTGGACAATGAGATTGATTCTAATCCATGTCTTATCTCCATATGATATATAGAAGAACGAAGGAATATTTGATCATTTATCATAAGTACAAATATCTGATCGAATAAGAGTTCAGCAAGTGCTTTGGAAAGCATCATTTGCTGATTAATTTAGAAGTTATACATGTAATTGAGTTTTAGACTTATCCAAGTAGGAGACTATTGGATTAGGTGTCTAAGCTAATAACTAAGTTATTATAATATTGAATTATTAGCAAAGTTCTTTTGGGTTGCTCTCAAACTAGTAATAGACTAGTATGTTTTTTGGAGAGAGAGATGCTGATTTATTAATTTATTATATGGTTAATAAATCAATTAGAAATTAAAATAAATAATTTATTAGTATATTATGATAATAATATATTAATTAAAATGGTATAATTTAATTAAGAATTAATCCGAAATTAATTGGAATTAGTTGGAATAATTAAAAACGGAAGGACTAAATGTGAAAATGTTCAAAAGTTGAACATTGACCACCTATAGAGCCTCCCAAGAGGTTGGGCAGTTTCTAGATGGTCAATAGGGATTATCTTGGGCATTAAGGAAGCCCAGAAATCCTTAGGGAGCAAAGAAAGGGGATATGGCTTATCCAAGGAAACTACCTTATCCTAACTCCTTTAGTCACCTATATAAACCCTCATAAGGGTTATGATTTTTGGCTATCACCTCCTCATAGGAGAATTTTGAAAAATCCCTTCCTCCTCCTCTCTCTTCTTTAGCCTCCAACTTGCTAGGGGTTGGGTGTGAGCCATTAGAGGCATAAGACTTCTAGTGCTTGCTTTCTGAAGACCAACAAGGAAGGATTACTAGTTTATTTTCTATAATTAACTAAGGTATGTATTTTCTAATAACCCTTTAGTAATTTTGAAAATAACAATGTAGTTCTAGGATTCTTGGTATTAAATAGTTGTTTGCAAATCATAATGAGAACATAGATCTTTTATGTTGCATGTGAACTTAGGGTTAATGTTTTTCCGCCAAAAATAGTTTTTTGTTACATTTATACCCATCAGTTTGGACGATCCTAATGGATAAAGTTGGAAACTTTATCCATTATGGAGCTATTAGGAACCATAAAAATGTGATCTTGGTCCTTTAATCCCTTCCATGCAAGAGTTATGATGTCTTAATGGATTAATAAGTTAGGGTTTTGGCTTTTGGACCTTTTCTAGCCGTAGAAAGTCATAAAGGTGGAAACTTTATGACTTAAATCGATGTCCTGAGTCTAGATCTGAGCTATAGACAAAAGACCTTAATGGATAAAGTGCTTAATGGAGGAGTAATGATAAGTCGCGTAATTGGGCGTACTCAGCAGCCTTGGACCTTGACTTTCGTTGATCGTTGACTTTTTGACCAAGTTTGACGTTGGGACAAACTTGAGGATTTTTGGTTATTAATTAAAATTCTATTTGGTTCTGGTGTTAGTGGATCTGTGGGTGTAAGCAGTGCAGAAAAGGGATCGCATTATAGTGCTTCAGAGTTCTTCGATTCAGGTGAGTTTTCTTTACTGTACATGTGGGTCGAAGGCACCAATATCAGACCACTAGGTTGTGTATCCTGGTATATATGATGTTTTTATGCTATAGCGATCTGTTAGATCTGTATCCTAGTATATAGAATGTTGTTGTGCTATAGTGATCTGTTAGATTTGTGTATATATCCTTATATGATAGGATGTTGTAGTAGTGGTATATTGGTTATCATCTAGCGGAAAGCCTTGGGGTTGTATGTAGTCATACATGATAGTCTGATAACTCTTGATCTAGGCTTTCTTGCATGTTCCTTGTTTGGTTGTGGCTTTAAATTAGGATCATATGTTTGGGTGGCTATCTCACATTTGGTTACTTATGGTTACGCATTTCAAGAATGTTAGTCGGTAACATGACAGCGTGTTGTGAGAGGATTATTAGGAGGTAGTGAGTTGTATGATTGATGTTGCTTGTTAGCCCGCTAACTGATTATATAAATAGTTGTTTGTTGAGTATATGTTTTTTGTTATGTATATGTCGACATAGTATGGGTGGGTTGAGACTGTACTGCTTTGTGCGGTCAGTCAACAAACCTGGGGCAATCCAAATCGGAGGTTGTAGGCCAGGGCAATCCAACCAGGAGGTTGAGGGTCAGGGTAGTCCAACCGGGAGGTTCTGGGTCTGGGCAATCCAACCAGGAGGTTGTGGACCCAATATGCAATACATGTGGCAATCTAACCGGGAGGTTCTGGGTCTGGGCAATCCAATCGGGATGTTGTGGACCCAGCTTGCAATATGTATATTTGTTTGGTTGTGTGTGGTATTTTGGGGGAAACTCAATAAGCTTTATGCTTACCCAGTTGTTTATGTTTATCACGTTTTGTCGATAATCATGGGAAGGTGAAGTTGAGACTGTACACACTTATCATCAACATTGAGGATTTTAGGTTTTTTATATTACTCTGATTTTCAGTAAATGTATTTGTAATAAACAGTTTTCTTAATAATAGATTTATAATTGGGATGTTTTATTCTAATAAAAATGAAATTTTTTTGTTGTAAAAATGGGATGTTACGGTCTTTGTTATATTATTCATATTTTAGATATTTAAAATAATATTAAACAACTAATAATTATCCTATCTTTTGAATAAGGCAAAAAAATCTCAAGTTTTGAACTCAGAGAATTCCCATGATGTAGCAGAGGGTTGCCCACATCGTGGTGATGCAAATTATCGATTTTTATTTTGGTTTTTTGGTTTCATCTTTATGTGCTACTAATTGACAAAGCGTAGCTCTGATACCACTATTGAGGTCTTTAGGTTACAATAGCAATGTACTTACAAAATATCGCATAAATAATTATGGGTACATGTAACCTAAAATTATCTATGGCTTTTTACTATTAATAACAACATACTTTATGAAACAAAACTAAACCCTAATGGTAATTGAAAATCATAGATAAGAACCCATACCTTTAACATAATCAAATATGTTAATATCCTTTTATCTTCAAATTCCATGGAAAGCGAGCGTCAAAAGTATGCACGCCTCTAATGGTTCACACAAAAAACCCTATAATACTAGAAAGACAAGAGGATAAAGAGGAAACAATGATGAAATGTGGTTTTCATCATTACATGAAGGTTATGAACGGAATTTTCAAGCAAATGAATCCTATTTATTGTTTAGGTAACTTACAGATAAATCTATATTTGAATAATTAAATAATAGATTTAATCTCCAATTCAGATAGTTTTCTTATCAGCTACCAGGAATATTCTAGAAACCTTAAACGACTCCTTAAAACCTTCCATGCTTTGGTTGCTTCTAAAATTGTTTATTTTGTTTAACTATTGAACAATTATAATTCACTCATCGTACCTTTAATTATTTTCAATTAATTCCAAATTAACTCTAATTAATAATTAATTAATTCCAAAAGTTTCTAATTAATTTATTAATTACATAATATATTAACAAATCATTTTATCTCTATCCTAAAGTTATCTCTATGTTAAAATGAAATTACTTTTATTTCATAAAATTATATCAATTTAGTTATGACATTCACCAATTGAATTATGACATTGACACTTATTCCAACAATATCCTCACAATATCCTTTGTTCTCTCATAAATGACGTATGTTACCGAGCAATACTTTACCATATAAGATAAACCATGAAACACTTTCTTCCTCTCTTCTTGTTTCATAATCATCCGTTAGAACAATAACACTTACCACTTCTTTGACTCTTGATAATCTAAACATATAAATGTTTGGCAAGTGTTAAAATGTTTGATTCTTTGCATCAAATTTTAAACCTAAATTTAACTTGACATTCAACAAAAATATATGTAATAAAGTCTTTTAGCACTTTTCACTCGGAACATTCCAAGGCCGTCCTAAGCTACGAGTGACACAACCCAGGGCATCAAAGGCTAAGGGATCTCAACTTCGGGGCCAACTTTAGTTAGTAATGTCACTAATGTGTTTGTTTGTATCTGGGCAATGAAATAAACCAATAGAAAAAAAATAACAAAAGAACATATACGGAATATATGTCGTTACAAGAGATTTTAAATTTTAAATTTTAAATTTGTTATAATTTTAAAACTAATTATAATTATATAATATAATAATTTTTGAACAATCTTACCAAAATTAAGGAAAAAAAAGACATTGCTAATCATCAACAATCACGGATTCACGGCCAATAATTTTCACATCGGGTCAGTTAGGAAATCGAGTCAGCTATATTTTTACCGGCATTCGAGATGCCTGCGGACACTATATTATGGCCCCACATCCGGAGAATGTAATATTTCACAACTGGCCGTTTACGAAAATCGTTTGTTCATCAGATCTTCCTCAAAATACTCTTCTTCGTCTCTGTAAGTCATCGATCTACACTTTTAGTTACAAATCTTATTGCAATTGAAATCATGTAAGCAATTCAGTCCATGCTCTATGTTAACATTTTCATCTGTAATTTAGATCGATTGCTTCTCTAATATTGACCGGATCACGAATTAGGGTTTTACAAATCCGATGGTTTTTTCGGCTGTTATGATTTAGGAAACACAAATTAAGGTTTAGCTGTATGGATTTGTGCTTTCAGTAAATTGGAGTTACTAGTTTATTGAGTAATTTCCTCCTGTGCGAAAATGATGGATTCTTCTACAATCTACGCGATTCGTTCGTTTCGATTTGATGAATTTGCATTTTTGTTGTAATCTAGAATTATTTATGATTAATAGGAAATGGATACGTTGTAATGTTGGTTTTCAATTTGAAGCAGATTGTGATTGAGAGGTGTTTTGTAGAAGAAAGGCAGAGATGAGCGAAGTATTCGAAGGCTACGAGCGACAGTATTGTGAGCTGTCTGCGAATTTGTCCAGAAAATGTAACGCAGCTGGTTCTATTCTTGATGGAGGTATTTCATTTTAGCTTTCGTTGCATTTAGTTTCTCAGTTCAATTTTTTGGGTTGTGATTGTGTTATCAGCAACTGATCTGATCCCTTACTTGTGATATCATGATATGAAGAGCAAAAAAGCAAAGAGATCAATGAACTACTATCTGGATTAGATGAAGCTGATGTTCTGGTAAACAATAACTAGTCCTTTTATCTTTCTTTTTTTCCTCAATTCTGGTTTGTAATTTACGCATGGAAAATTGTACCAGATAAGAAAAATGGATCTTGAAGCAAGAAGTTTGCAGCCAAGTGTGAAGGCAATGCTTCTTGCAAAGCTTCGAGAATACAAATCTGATTTAACAAAACTGAAAAGGGAAGTTAAGAAACTTGCTTCAGCTAAATCCAGTCTAACTGCACATGAAGAGTTGCTGGAGTCCGGAATGGTAAAATCTCCATTTCCTAACTACTGGAATTGGAATTTCCTATTCCCATATACTAAATCTGGAATTGCCGATTCCCATTACAGGCTTCTTCAGATCAAAGAGATAGACTGATGATGTCAACCGAAAGGCTAAATCAATCTAGTGAGAGAATTAAGGATAGCAGGAGAGCTGTGTTTGAAACAGAGGAACTTGGTGTCTCAATTCTTCAAGATTTGCATCAACAACGAGAAACTCTTCTAAATTCCCATGCAAAGGTATTTTATTTTTACGGGTTTTTTGTTTCTTTTCTTCCCAACTTAATGAATGTTATGGAAGGACAAAATGGTCATTTCTTCTTGAACATAATTAAAAAAAAAAAGTAAATTTGACAGCTGCATGGAGTAGATGATGCGATTGACAAGAGTAAGAAAGTGTTGACAGCAATGTCAAGAAGGATATCGAAGAACAAGTGGATACTTGGGTCTGTGATTGGAGCTCTTGTGTTTGCCATTATTTTTATTTTGTATTTCAAGCTTACTCATTAGTGACTCTCACATCTAAAACATGTTTGACCATATTATATTGGGTGTATGTATGTATATACATGTTGTTATGTTTTAGACCTTGTTTGCAGCTTTGTTATAAAATTGATATCAACTTTGATTTTTCTTCTTTTTGCCGTTTTTACTGTAATTATTCATTTTTTGTGAAAAAGTTTTGTACAAACAATTCGATCGAATTCCAATTTTGATAGATTTTAACTTTCCTAGTTCTGTGTGAAAAAGATTCAGTTTTACTCATACTTTTTTTGGTTTAAGACCAAAATGCCCTTGTTATATATTATGAAAAGTTCAATTATGTAATAAACAAAAAAAATTTGAATACATATAAATTTGTTTGTCATTTAAGATTTAATTTTTTTGATAATTAAATATATATTTTATGTCATATAATTTTTTTTTATGTCACAAAGGGACACATAGAATCTGGCGTGTCATGCTCCTTCCACACTTGAACATCTCCCCAATTGGGCGTAATGGTCTTATGGATTGCTACGGTTCATGGATCTTCGTGGATGATCTGATTGGACAAAGATGGGGACGATCAATTGATCGTTGAAAGATTACAAAAAATTATTACTTTTTAAAACTCGGATCATACCATGTTTACCTGTAAGTAGTAACAATTTTATACATATTTCACACACCAAACATATCTATTTCTTTCTATACTCAACTCTTCATCAATTTACTATGGATCAACATCCAAACACCCCTAAAGATGTGTATGCACATATTGGTGGATACATGAACATGTTAACATCCCCGATTCACAAGCATCCATACTCTAGAAACTACTTCTAACAACCATAACCACATCAATCGCATACTTCCCAATAACAAGCTTTTCAAACACAATCTTCTCAATCTCAACCTTTTAAACACCAACCATCTTAACTCCAAAATCAGGTCCTATTTTCTCAAACCCAACTTACAAACGTCGATGATTACAACGATGACAAAAGGGTCCAAGAAATCCAACCACCACCAACAAGAAGACAACAGAAAGGAAAGTCTAAAAAAGGTGGTCGGGTTGGACAGAAGACTATGAAGTGACATTAGTGAGAACTTGGATATTTATATCGAAACACAAAGAAAAACACAACATACAATCACAAGGAAGTTTTTGGAATCATGTTTTACACCACTTTCACGTGGAAATGGGAAATGGTTCTTATCAAATGTTTGACGCGGTCAACGGAAATAGCATGAATTTACAAGCAAGTTGCACCAAATTTAATAACAAATTTCAAAATCTTACAAATATGCACAAAAGTGTGAGTAATGATTTCAATATTTTATCACTCCAACAATACAAGCTTACCAATGGCGATATGGCTAGTTTGTCGTGAGGGTCCAAAATGACTCCTTAAACCAGAATCACTTTCGAAATCAACCGCCGACTCCAACAAACGATCGAGAACATCCAGGTCAGATGTGGCTTTCTGCCTCGACCTTAATGATGACATCGACGAGACCAAGGAGGAGGGTCCACCGGAAGTCACCCTTCATTGACCGACGGAAGGGACAAAGCTAAATGGGCGACATCATTGTCCAAAAAGCGAGTGCCGATGAATTACTTTAGGGCAAATAGACATACATGTACTTTTTTCTCGATACAAACAGTTCAAAAAACAAAACAAAAAAAAAAAAAAAAAAGACGAAGCTCGTCGCCAACAAGTAATGGTTACCGACCTTTAAATTTTGAATACAACACACCAACGATACATCATGCTAGAAAAATCTAGAAACATTTTTAAAACTTCAACGCAAAGTCCAAGAAAAATGTGAAGATTAGTTTTTTCTAGTTTTATATATCTGTTTAAGTTTAAATTTCTACGTTTTTATTAGTTTTTATTAGTAAAATAGGTTTAAATTTTTATGTTTTTAATTAGTAATATATGTTTTTAATGCATTTTGATTTTAGTTTTAGTAAAATGCTTATTAGGTTTTGAAAATTATATATATATATATATATATATATATATATATATATATATATATATATATATATATATATATATATATATATATATATATATATATATATATATGACGAAGAACGGTAACGAAATATGGTGAACTTGATGTAACACTGAAATGATTCACTTTTCAAATAAACATATAATGATCATACCTTTTAATCTTATTTATGAAACTTGTCAAAAATCATGTTGTTTTTATTTGAGAAAGTTTGTTCGGTAAAAACTACATAAGAACAAGTAAATAATATATATGATTTTCTTATTATAAAAGAAAATAGCCAATAAAATCAAAACATATTTTTTATTTATTATTGAAAGAAATAAAGAAATAAAAAGGTTAGTCATTTTCCCATTATAAAACCGAGCAAATAATATAGATATGAGTAAATCAATACACTCCATGGCCTCTATTTCAACAGAAACGCTGTTGGAGGCTCCCATATGGAATTTCCCCTTTTTCTATAACAAACACACCCATACTATCCTTCCTATCATTCTCCTCACGCCTTTTTTATTGTCTCTAACCAACGTTCTTCCAAACGAACTTTTGAATAATTCAATTTGCAGTTCAATTGCCCCAATCATATCTTCTTCCTCTATATCAACAAATGAAGAGGTTGGTTGTTTTGTTGCGGATCAACATTTGACGTTTTGAAATATCTACAAAGGTCGCGTGATTGATCACGTCTTAAGAAGGTCACCTTTCATTACTATTATCTATTTTGTTAATAAATAGGAAAATGACTAAATAAGTTCATCAATTGTTGAGATTTTCACATTTGATCATTTTTATTTTCATTGTTTTTGTATACAATATATCATCAAACTTGTTGATTGTGTTCATAATATATCACTAATTTAACTATTTAAATAGAATTTTGATTTTTTTATATTTATATCTAAAGCTACATATTCTATTTTGTGTTTTCTAAATTAACAATTTATATTTGAATATGTTATTAAAAGGTAATAAAATAATTAACAATTAACAATAAATAAGAAAAAAAATAGATTGGAAAAATTCCTAGCAAAACCGTATCGATTTAGAAGCCTCAAATAGGAAAACAAATAAAGAATTATAATCGACACCCTTTCACGTTTCACAAAACTAATAGATAAATGAATGCTATAAATTTTAAATATGTAAAATTAAATAAAATCAAAAGCTAAAAGTTACGAAAAACTATTTGAAATAATTTTTTGATTTAAAATAAAAACTATATGTTAAACAAATTTTTTTTGCATGTTTTTCTTAAACTAAAAATTTAAAAGCTCTCAAAGAGTCAAAATATAAGATTTTTTTTTCCTAATTGTTTTTTCTAATAAGATAACTTTTAAGGTCTCTTATAAAAATATAGAAATTCAAGTGATATGAACGAACATAAACAAAATTTGTTCATTTAAGTTAACCAAACAAATAAATAAATACCAACAATAAATGAACGATGTTTCTTAACGAATAACCAAACAAGTTTTATTGTTTATTTTTGTTCGTTAACAAATTATATTGTTTATGTTCGTTCATTTATGTTGTGAACATGCTAAACGAACATAAACAAACGTAAATAAATAAATATAAGTCTAACATATATGAATATAAATAGCATAATAATGTAATAAAAACAATTAAATATATATAAATATAAAAAGAAGATAAATAAACCTAAGCAAAATAGTTGAAGAACAATTCAATTGGTTTAAAGCCTAGTGATACTAACCTCATAATTTTGTAGTTTAGTTTGACTCGTGAGTTGTAACTCGGGGCACATAAAATGATAAAAATCTGCACCAATAGAAATTAGAATCCCCCCAGGGATTCAGTGAACCAACTTGCCTTCGATTCTCCGGTGGTCTTTCAGTCGTTCACGCAGTCGCCGATTGCTACCAACTTCTCCTCTACCGCCCTCTCTGTATATAAACAACTATACACGTTTCACACGCACAAACAAGAGCCTCTATGATGGAATCCCTCTCTTCCGTATCTACCTCAATCGTCTTACCTCCCGGAACCCCCTTCCACCACCACGACCACCGCCGGAGAATCCATCTACGATCCTCATCCTTTTCCACCTCATGTCTTCATCCCGATCACCGTCATCCATCCCGGTATCTCTCAACCTTCGTGACCCCTTCAAACCCTAAACTAAAACCGTATGGAAGCAGAGTCGATGGTATGGCGTGTAAACTGAACGCCGTAGGAAATCGAGGAGAAAGTAAAGGGGAAGATGAAGGAGAAGAGGATGAGGAGGTGGAAAAGGCGTTACGATTGGACGGGACGATCCCTGGTTCTTCTAATGAGTTCGTTGAACAAGTTTCGTCGCGTGCTTACGACATGCGTCGTCATCTCCAACAAACCTTTGACAGCAGCAGTTACGACGGTATAATTCTATCCATCATTGTTCCGATCACTGTTTTTTCAATTATAAATCCGACCTTTTCTCATCAAACTTTCTGATTAGTTTTTTTCTGTACGAATCGTTCATATTTGCTTGTTTTCATTGATATGTCAAGTAATTGAAACTCACTCCTCCACAGATTGATCTTAGATTAAAAACTAGAATCTTCAAGGTGCCTTCTATGAATTTGACTCACTCGTTATTCTGATGTATTGATTCAGTGCTGGAATCAAATCCATGGAGAGGAGATGCAAAACCTGTTTATGTATTAACCCGAAGGGAAAACCAGCTCTGCACTATGAAAACCAGAATGAATCGCAGGTTTCACTTCTGATTAATTGTTAAATTCTCATACATCCAGTACTCTACTTTCATAACTGCTCCTCCTTTCTTCTAATCCCAAACTCACAAACAGTGAAGTTGAAAGGGAACTTGGGATGTTGTTCTCCAAAGAACGTAAGTTAAGAAATCAAACAAAGAAACCAACTCCCAATAAGTTCCAGATGCTTGTTGAAGATGTCAGGGATGGAGTGCTTGTAAGTTATCTTTTATCATAGTAGTCATGTTGATATGATCTTTGTAAACGGCATTTGACGATTGACACCATTAATGAAACGTTTTGTAAGGTTTTTGAGGATGAGACAGAAGCAGCAAAATACTGTGACCTTCTGCAAGGAAATTGTGAAGGGGTTGCAGAGATTGAAGCCTCATCGGTAACTAACAACAATCAATCATCGACTTTTCAAATCTGCTTTTTAACTTTAATAAATTCTTTTTGAACTATGAATTTTACAGGTGTTTGATCTTTGCCAGAAGATGA